GGGCAATGGCTTTCTTTTATAACATGGGAAAAAAGACTATTAGGAACTCAAGCATATTACTGGATAAATCAATTTTAGTAAACAGTACTCATGTAACCTGAGAATCTGGACACTGATTCCTTTAAAATGATCTATGCCTATGTAAACTCCTCCGCAAGGATTTATATTCTCCTGGGCATACCCTCAACTTGAGAACTACTACATTACACGATAGTTCCTAGACGACCCAACGCAATCTCTAAAAGTGTGTCTTTAACAAACTTGTGAGATATTTCGATGCCTCCCTTGGCTCTGACACTGTATACTCTGCCTCTTACAAAAGAAAGTAAGTGGCAATGAATGGCAGTGTGGCAGTCACTGGAGTGTGCCTGAGTCTGGGAGAGGCATGGGCCATGGAAAGGCAGAGTCTCATGTCTTGTTCAGGAACTGGATATTTACGGTGAGGCAGAAGTAACAGATTGTGGTGAGGTTGGAAAAACACAATGAGCAAAACTGTTAACTGAATTTTAAAAAAAAAAAGAGGCAAGAACTAAAAGTGAGACATTACCATAATCAAATCCATGACATGGTGACTGCTGCATGGAATTCCTACCCTTGTCAGTTCAGAGTCAGCAGAAATTTAGCAGCATCTAAGCACCCTACTTCTCACATGGAGGTGACAAAGGCAGAAAAGTGTTCATATGTTATTATCCTAGGACAATGAAACAATGACAAGGAATCTCACTTTTTTCTACTGACTAAAATGTTTTAAATAAATTAATTTCACATGAAGATTTAAAATTAAGTTCACTGTTTACTGGAGAAAATATCTTTACAAATGTGAAGATAACCGGTCTAGCTCTTAATCTTAATAATAGCTAATGTTACTGAGTGCTTATTGCATGTCAGTTACTGTGTTAAGTGCTTTACATTTAATCTTTGTAACACTATGAGGTAAGTGCAATTTTGTAGATGAAGGACTGTAACAGAATGAGGGGAGCCAGGATTCAATTCATGTTTCTAACAAATAAGTTGTTTCTAGAGCAGTGGTTATTAAACTTATTTGGGATCATAAATCCTCACAGAAATCTGATAAAAGCTATGCATTATTACCTCCAAAAGTATGTAAAATCCTAAGTATTAAGTTTTGGGATCTCACAGACCTTCCCTTTCAAAGCCCTTCTATTGACTCATTAAGAGTCAGTCTCAGATTATACTCAAGGACACTCAACTAGAAACCAGAAAATTTTAACATTAAAAACATTACAGTACTATGATTATGTTCATGCTGTAATGAAGGTCTAACATACCTTAAAATATCCTGAGAAAGGTATTCAGTTTTGTAGACCTGACATATTACCTGGAAGAAACAAAATCAACACAAAAAACAGCACATTCTGATTTTTTAAAATCTGAAGCAAATGTGTATAGTGTATTGGCAGAAACCATTCTATTAACCAAATCGTCTTTAACTGGACAAGTTAAAAGCAAGCTCATTCCCTGGAGAAGGACTTGGCAACTCATTCCAGTATTCTTGCCTGGGGAAAGAAATCCCATGAACAGAGGACAGAGGAGCCTGGCAGGCTAAGTCCATGGAGTCACACTACCAGCATGTAAAACAAGATGAAATATCAACAAAAATAGGAAAATAAAAGTTTTTTTAAAAATTTTAAAAAGGCTCATTGTAAGGAATTCAGAAAATTATTAAAAAAATAAGTACACATTTTAAAGCCAGAGGTGCTTCCTGTTAATTAATCATATGGCATATTTCCTTCAAGCTTCTTAAAAATTAGAACACTTATTTCTAAATAGTATAGGATCTTGTATCTGTAGTTGACAATAATAACTCTAATGTAATGCAAGATTTCTAATCATATTCTGAATAAAATGTTTAGTTTTTATTTTACCTTACCTAATTCTAGGAAAATATTGAAACACATGAATGATAGTCATTAACCATGACTCTTCCCTCCAAAGAGGATTCACCATATAGCATTTAATATATATATAATTATTCCACTAGACCACTCATTACTACAGAAGATGCTCAAGATAAACAACATTAGTCTTAACCACAAGAATCTAATCTTGATTTTATAATAATTCAGAATCACAGCATTTTGAGTTTTAGAATCAGGGTTCATATGTTTCAATATTTCAGGCTATTAAAGAACAGTCTGGTTAAGATGAAGAGCTTGAAGCCTGGAGCCAGACTACTTGAGTTCAAATTCTTGCTCTGCCTTTCAACTAACTGCATGGTAACTTTTAGTTCAAGTCATAAAAGTACCACATAGTTTTAAATTTCTGGTGTTTCAGGAAGGATTTAACTACACAGCTTAGGTTAGCTAGACAAATTAAACAGATACATCTTACAATTTTCTTGCTTTGTTTACACCTCAAGGGGTAATCACAAATAGTGCTAATGAAGTACTACAGATTTTTAAATGAAATGACCAAAAAACCCAAAGCATTTTTATCTTTAATCATATGCAAATCTTAATTTATCTGTATTTATTTACTAATAACTAAGCAGTTAGGCATCGCTGTAACAAGGTAATCACGAGTTGTTAACTTGTGACTATTAGGAATGCAAGAGTAATTGATATAATTACATATTACCACAAGATGGAGTAAGAGTGAAGTGTTATACTCACACACACACAGTCACCACAAGATGGAGTAAGAGTGGAGTTACACACACACACACACACACACACACACACACACACACACACACACACACACACACCTGTCAAAAGACTTACAGATCTGACTTATTCCATTCTGCCATCTAGTGGTGATAAAATTAGTTATTACTCTCTTGGATCAGTCTCCTATGTCATAAAACAAAAGCAGCTTCATAAGAGCTAAGAAATTAGGTGAAAGATAAGATTAAGCACAAAAAGGAAAGAGGTAATATCATTTAGTATAATGGCAAGAGGAAGCATCAGAGAATGTTAGTGTGAAGTCCCAATCTGGCAAAAACAAGTTTAAAAAATAAAATCTGTTTAGAAACTAAAATGATATCTATGTTAACACATAACTTTCTTATTTAATCCCTTTTAGTATAAAGAATTCGAAAGATGGTTTCAACCATCCCTTTAACAGGACAAGTAATTTAATTTAAACATTTTAATGTTGCCTTTTTTCTTTAATAAAATTGAAAACTACAAAATCACAAGGAAGGAAGCATCTAAGGTCTCTAGTGCTGTGCCGTGCTGTGCTTAGTCGCTCAGTCGTTCCGACTCTTTGCGATCCCACGGACTGTGGTCTGCCAGGCTCCTCTATCCATGGGAATTCTCCAGGCAAGAATACTGGAGTGGGTTGCCATGCCCTCCTCCAGGAGATCTTCCCAACCCAGGGATCAAACCCAGGTCTCCAAGGTGGATTCTTTACCATCTGAGCCATCAGGGAAGCTCTCTAGGAACTTACATAAATTTTACGTAGGACTATTTAGATTTATAGTCAATAATGTTTTTCTTTTCATTGAATAACAATGCTTTCAGTTGCTTAAGTTTCACATTTGGCTTTAAGTGGTATAATTTTTAAACTTTTACCAAAAAAATGTACATACTATGTCAAATATACATAAACAAAATTAGAAAGCAAAGGATTAATAGTCTTGCTAAGTAAAAAAGCTCTATAAATTAATCAAAAAAGATAATCATGCTAAAAGGAAAACATAAAAGATATGACCAAGCCATCTACAAATATTATAATAAATAAAATTATCATTCATTAGTAACTTGATTAAAATGATGACCTTAATAATGACATTTATTAAAATAATATTTTTTGCTTCTCAATCTATCAAAGAAAAGGTTTATAATAACCAGTGTTGGTCAGTCAGTCAGTCAGTTCAGTCGCTCAGTCGTGTCCAACTTTTTGCGACCCCATGATTCGCAGCATGCCATGCCTCCCTGTCCATCAACAACTCCCGGAGTTTCCTCAAACTCATGTCCATCAAGTCGGTGATGCTATCCAACTATCTCATCCTCTGTCGTCCCCTTCTTCTCCCACCTTCAATCTTTCCCAGCATCAGGGTCTTTTCAAATGAGTCAGCACTTGACATCAGGTGGCCCAAGTATTGGAGTTTCAGCTTCAGCATCAGTCCTTCCAATGAACACCCAGGACTGATCTCCTTTAGGATGGACTGGTTGGATCTCCTTGCTGTCCAAGGGACTCTCAAGAGTCTTCTCCAACACCATAGTTCAAAAGCATCAATTTTTTGGCGCTCAGCTTTCCTCACAGTCCAACTCTCACATCCATACATGACTACTGGAAAAACCATAGCCTTGACTAGACAGACCTTTGTTGGCAAAGTAATGTTTCTGCTTTTTAATACGCTATCTAGGTTGGTCATAACTTTCCTTCCAAGGAGTAAGTGTCTTTTAATTTCATGGCTGCAATCACCATCTGCAGTGATTTTGGAGCCTCCAAAAATAAAGTCTGACACTGTTTCCACTGTCTCCCCATCTATTTCCCATGAAGTGATGGGACCAGATGCCATGATCTTAGTTTTCTGAATGTTGGTAAGGACATAGAAAAGCAGATGCTATTGGTAAAAGGGTAAACTTTACAACCGTTCTAGAGTACGTTAACTGGGAATATATTTTTACTTAGAATTTCAACTTCTAGGAATTTATGTTAGGCAGTAACTCCAAGTTTACACACAGATTTATCTGTAGGGATATTATCAATTAAACTGTTGTTTGTAACAGCCCAAATCTAACCACAGGCAAAATTTCAACAATACGTGATTTAGCTAAATAAACTATGACACATCCACATGCTACAATACTATATAACTTGTAAAAGTCATGGTGTAGAAATATTAATGACATTAGAAAATGGTCACCTCTACAAGTAAAAGCAGGTGATAATGCTGTATGTATAGCATGATACTGATTTTGTTTTTTCCTTTTTTAAAAAAGTACTTTATTTTCATCTTTGTGCTTTTCTAAATTTCCCAATGTACATGTATTGTTTTTATAATCAAAATAATATGATAAAACTATTAATTTATTACACATCACAAAACTCTTGATCATTGTATTTTCACATAAAATATAAAATTTTCATCTACAAATTTCAAATACACATTTGCATATTTAGGTGAGTGGAAGTAATCTTAACATTAAATACAGGTTTCAGATGTAAGTGTTCAACACAAAAAGGATATTGAGAAAGATTTTTAGATCAGTTCAAGAGAGTACTTAAAGCTAATAAGCATGGTTTGGAAAGTCCTCACTGAAAAGCCAGAACTACATATGCATGTAAGAAAACATTTTCAAATATATTATCTAAATCTATTTGTTTTACTTTTGATTCTCTTCCCAAAATCTAAGTAGATTTTCTGAAATATTCAAATTTGACAGTTTCTTAGAAGTAATGTATCAAAATGACTTCCCAAATATTAAATATTATACAATTGCAGATTATCACTTATTCATAGGAAATAAAGTAATGAAAATCTCTTATTTATTAAAGGCTAGTCCATTTATCCAAAGAAAATATGTATTTCAATATTGTCATTCTATAAGAACAAGACATCAAAGAGAAAATAATAAATTAATTTAGTGTATTAAACTAGCTGCTTCTTCACAATACAGGAAAATATATGTTAAATAAAAATGGATGTAAGTTTAACACTGAAACTTCATTCACAAAATACAATGGTCTTCTACTAGAATTTGAAAATTACAGCTTTTCAATTATATTCTAAACAAAAATAATTAAAATTCAATTCAAATAATTTAAAATAAGTGCTTTATTTTAATTCCCACAAAACTAAAACTGTCATTTACATCAGTTGCAACAGTAATAAAAATTAGAAGTAAATTTGTTTTTGAAAACACTTATAAGCATAAAACAAAACTAAAAGACACAAAAAAGGAAAAACTAGGTACTCCTTTTAAACTGAGGATAATCTGACTACTTGTGACACATAGACCTGTAGATGTACAAAGAGCAAATACATTCAAAACAGGGCAAGATTTAATTAACTTAGGACAGTATTCCAACCAATCCCAACTCCAACTTCAATTACTTGTGCAGGTTTATATAGTCACAAAAAGTAAATCCATCCTAGTATGTAATTGACTGATGTCAATTCAGAACACTCCACATCAACACAACAATAACTATGGAAGTCATGAAGTATGACTTGGTGGGGGAGGGGAAGCAAAACCCAACATCCAAGGTGCATATACTTTAATATAACTGGAATATATCTCTCCCTTTGTAAAAAAAAAAAAAAAAATTTAAACCATACATCTAAAAGAAAAGCAAAGGTGGTATTTCACATTCTTTTTCTGAATTTAAAAAATATATACGAAATCTTCCTTTGTTTTTGATAAGTTCAAATATGAATTGATAATGAGGTAACTGGATTCTTTAAGAGAACTCTACAGAAGAGATGAATACAACATACTATATCTTCTTTAAGAAGTATGAGCTGTAATGTTAGGCATTCCTTGTGATGTTTTTATATATATTTAAGGAAGGCTGTTCTTGTAAACAATGGCTTTAAAAAAGAAATACTGAGACTAAAATATATTACTAGAGGATCTCTGTAAAAGGTTACCAAAACTATCCTTGGTGAAATCAAGGCAACATTTTTAGAATTTATCCTGCTAGAAAAAAATGCTACCATTTTTCTTCCTTTTTCTTTTTTCTGATTATCACAATTAAACATCAGAGGATTTTCCCAAATAAATACTGATGTAAATGTTGATTTCAAGGGTAAACAACTTTTGTTAAGAGTCTATTTCTCAGGCAGTTCACCATTTGTTGGGACTGAGGCAGCATTGTTCTGGTGTGGATTGTCACTGGACTCCTGTGAAGTGTTCCTTCTGGGAGAATTTATTGGAACTTGAAGCTGATTAGCAGGTGTAGGCTTAGCAGCACTTGGTGGCTTTGTAGAGAAATTAGATGGAAGTCTATGACGATTACTTTCCTCACCAGAAGTAGATGAATGTCTTTTTCTTCCAAACTCCTCACCAATAGGGGGCTGCAAATTATGAAAGACAACATAGTGATGATTTTACTATTTTTTCCTCCCTTCAAAATCTAAGGTCAGAATTTTCTAACAGAGAATCTGTTAGATCTCTTTTTATCTACTTTAAACCTACTTTAGTAGATTTTATTAGTATAAGGAAAATTTAACAGAAATTTAAGGTATTAAACTTAAATTTCCTTCCTATCAGTTAATTCTTTCATTCAACACATGTTTATTAAGCTACTCCTATGTTTTAGGGTTTGAACTATATAGTAAAGCATAAACATAACACTGCATTCCATAACTCTGGGAAAACTTTTCAGAGAGGATATTTTTGTTCTTTATGCAACTTTCATCAAATTCAAAGCATTTGTAACTCTAATCTTTTCCTTCTCCAAACTTCCACTGTATTTAAAGGCAGAGGTCTGAATTTTGAACTCTCTTCAGATAGGGCAACAGTCATTATAATATTATAAAGCAAGGACATCTTTGTGACAGAACTGGCTGGACCACTCTGGAAACACAGCTCTTTAACTCCAGAGATGTTGGTACTTCTATTAACTGCACCCCTGGGCTATCAAATCTATTTACACAAAACTGCAAGACAAACAAATTATAATACTAAAGAGAGATGTACCTAGTTTTCCTTTCACCTCTCTCTTTTCTTCTCTTTTTGATTCTTCTCTCCTCGTTTCTCTTTTCTCTTCTTTCCCCTTTTCCTTTATCTTATGCTCATTCCCTTCTCTTTAAAAAATGTTTCCTTTTCCTCTTGAAATCAGATTGGTTAAAGTGACTGACAACTTCACTGCGGTTATGTAAGATATTAACATTTAGGGACTCTGGGTAAACTGAGTATATGGGAATTCTCTATATTATTTTTGCACCTGTTTTGTTTTTTTCTTCCCTTTTTGGCCTCATGGTGTGTGGGATCTTAGTTCCCTGACCCGGGATCAAACCTGTGCTACCCGCATTGGAAGTGTAGAGTCTTAATCACTGGATTACCACGAAAGTCCCATTTTTGCACCTATTTTAAAGTTTGATTTCAAAACTAGAAAGTTGAATTTTCAAAATGAAAGTTAAAAAATAAAAATTGTAAAATTAAAGTTAAGAAAGTCACTGATAAGCCCAAATTGCTCAAATATAAGAGTAATAAAAAGAATACAGGGAAAGAACTTAAAACTTACATCAACACGGAAGTCTTCTAGCTTCTTAAAGCTACAGAGGTATTCCTGAAGTTTGGGGTCAATAGATTGTGTCTTAGATTGAGAATATTTTAGATAAGCCCAAAACTTTTCTAATCCATACAGCTGACCTACAGTAACAAAGAATATATATACAATAAAATATATAGAATCCTTAAAAAATGATTCATTGACCATGATCCTACCAGCATTAAGCCATGTCTTCTAATATACACTTTATCTAGATCTTGAGGCTAACACTGTAATGAATAACGGGAGCTAACATTTATTAAGCATTTGCTATGTAACAGGTATTATTTAAGCGGTTTATTGTATATTAAACTAATTTGAACTATACACCACCCTGTAATATAGGTGTTCCTGTGTAAGTATTACTGATGAGTAAACTGAGTTAAGCAAGTTAAACAAGGTTAAATTAAGCAACTTAACCATGGCCACAGAGCTACTAAGTGGTGGAAATGGAACTCAGACTTAGGAATCTAGCCCAGAGCCTGTATTGTTACCCACTATACTATTTCACCTTTCCAAGCATACTTGCTCATATTACATAGAATTTTCACATAATGGAACATCAGTGAGTAATCATGTAAGTCAAATGAATAATGACAAAATGCAAATCCATAAAGAAACACTTGGGAGTGATTATTTTCCAACATCTTACATGAAAAACCTTCTTACTGTATGGTGCTCCATCCTTTATAACAAATCATAATAGTGGCCTCAAAGTCTTTTTGGTCTGCCCCCCCCCCAAAAAAAAGGATACAATCTCCTTATTTATTGACAGATTCAGATTTACAGTTTCCAAATTGAATAAGGTTATTGTTTTGTTTTTACCAGATTCGTAGTCTTTCTTGGTTTCTTCTTGGAAATCCTTAAAAATTTCTTGTCTGAATTTCTTTTCCAGTCCATAACTATAAAACCTGAACAGACATTCTAATCCATACCTGTGGGGTGGGGAGGAGGGGGTGGAGGGGAGGGAGGTGGGGAGGGAAATGGTTTATAATAAAATTTTCACTATGACAATGCAAATAATAATACTTAACTAACAGCACTGACATAAGCAAACATGGCACAAATAATCCTAAACAAGAATGTTTAAATCTATGTAGTTTTTTAATCCACAGCTGGTTTTCCTATTTTTGTGGACTTGGGCACAGAATCTCATGGAGGTATACTGGAGATGTGCAAAATAAGAGGCAGTCCATGAACAACTAGAGCATGGCTTCTTTGAACAGACAGAGGATCTCTTCCTGTTATTTCTGAAATACTCCTTGGTATTTCAAAAGATTTACTGACAAATTGGCAGTTTTAGAATTTTTTTCCAAACCAAGGCTTGCAATGGTGTTTTACTACATGGTATTAAATGCTCTTGAACATAATCTCTACTCTAGGAAAATAAAGACCATACTCTTGGGTCATAGACCCTAGGTGTGGTTGACCCAATCAACTATAAAGTGAGGTGAAGTTGCTCAGTCGTGTCCAACTCTTTGCAATCCCATGTAGCCCACCAGGTTCCACCGTCTATGGAATTTTCCAGGGAACAGTAGTGGAATGGGCTGCCATTTCCTTCTCCAGCAGATCTTCCCAACCCACAGACAGAACCCAGGTCTTCTGCATTGCAGGTAGAGGCTTTACCCTCTGAGCCACCAGGGAAGCCCCAACTATAAAGGGACAAACCTAATTAAAACTGTCTCCTAAGAGAGCCTTCCTGTTTATAAAGCACATTAAATAAAAGATAATTTGCCAAAATAATTGTATCACTGCATAAATCAGAAAGTAAATTTCTTTCTTCTTACAACCACCTAGAGAACCTGAGACAAGTTTTGGACAGTGGATCAAGAAACTACATGGGCTCAACCTGCAACTAACAGGGATGAGCAGAATCCATGAGAGTGGACATGGATAAGTTGATGGACAACAGTAAAGGTACCATCTAGCTCATTCTACTACAACATGTCACAATTTAAAAAACTTCCTCACTTAAATCTCTAAATCATTCTGGGCACCTCACTGGAGGAGAGGCAACATTTCTTTATTCTTGGTAACAACACTGCCTGGTCATTATTCATAGGAGGACATGTGTATGCATATGTCTTTTGTAACTGGCTTATTTAAAATGGAATGATGGTCTGCCTGGAAGAATAAACAAATTTCTTGGCAATGTGCCAAGAGAAAAGTGAGCTTACCAACCACACACTAACCTGAGTCCTTTCCTTTGGTAGCCATAAATGATGCTTTTCCTTGAGTTTGTCTGACTGAGGACTCACGAAACAACAGTTAAGAATGAAAAACTTATCTTAACACTCTTCTTATGGGATCATATTATACTGATACCAGTGGTCCTCACCTTGACTACATATACGGACCACCTAGGGAGCTTTTTAAAAAATGCAGGCTCCACTCCAAACCAATGAAATCATAATCTCTTGGGATGAAGCCAAGGCTTCTTTCTTTACGGAAAGCAGAATTGAGAAAACTTAGGTTATATTGAGTGAATGATATTTTAGAGGAATATTAGAATTCTTAGATTACTGGTAAAGGACAACTGAGTACTACAATATCTGCATTTCCAGTCTAACTTTTTTAGAAAACTAATTCCAAAGATCAAAAGCATGACATTAATCCTGCAACTCAAATATGTAGTATAACTGCTGGAGGAAAGAGAAGGGGCATATGACCAGCTTCTCAGTTGTCATTTATTCACTGACCCATCACTGTGAGACAGCTTAGATGAGTGGAAAACATAAAGGTTGAGAACCAGAAAGAACTATATTTGAATTCTAGTTTATAATCATATCTCTAAAAATGCAGGTACTAATATCCTCCTTTTCAATGTCAGATAATATTTGTAAAGCACTAAAAAAACAGACCTGGCACATTGCAGATATCTATGAAATGTTGTTTCTCTCCTTCCTTTTTGAAATCATCTTATGCTAATGTTAGTTAATGGATATATTTAGTACTGATCTTTCTAATAAAAATAATCATTTATTGAGCATACCAGGCAATACATTAAGCCCTTTAAATGTTGTGTTTTCTTTTTTAAATCTTCACAACAACCCTGTGAGGGTATTTACCATAATTTCCCCACTTTATAGATAAAGAACCTAAAGCTTACTGGGGTTATAACTTTCAAGGTCACAGTAAGTTAATGGGTTTGATTGAAAGCCTTCAGGTGCTTAACCACTGAGCTATACTTGCTAAGGAATAGCTAATCCAGTCTCATCATGAACACTGCAGAAACAGATCAAAATTATAGCACTGTTTTAAAAATCTATATACAGGATACCACAGGAACAAAGAAGGAGAACTGCCAATCTACACTTGGGTAGAAATGGGATCAGAAAAGTTATTAGAAAGTCCTGAGGAACAAATAGAAATTGTTTGCATAAGTAGCAAAATATGCCAAGACTAATTATAACAAAAGCTTTAAAACTTAGTTCTAACAGTAAGAAAAATATTTTACCTTGTGACAGTCAATACAACACATATTTGTATAACATAAAAACATATATAAGTTTTGCAAACAATTTTTAAATTTGCATTTATCTATGAATTGTAAAACATATTAATAACTTCACTATCATCAGTGAAGTCTGATATTTTCTATGTAAAATAAAAATTATTTACTTATTTGGCAGTACTTGGGTGCATCTCAAAAATGACAGAATGATCTCTGTTCATTTCCTAGGCAAACCATTCAGTATCACAGTAATCCACATCTATGCCCCAACCATTAATGCTGAAGAGGCTGAAGTCAAACAGTTCTATGAAGACCTACAAGACTTTCTAGAACTAACAAAAGATGTCCTTTTCATCAGAGGGGACTGGAATACAAAAGGAGGAGACAAAAGCTACCTGGAGTAACAAGCAAGTTTGGCCTTAGAGTACAAAATGAAGCAGGTCAAAGGCTAAGAGTTCTGCCAAGAGAATGCGCTGGTCATAGCAAACACCCTCTTTCAACAACACAAGAGAAAACTCTACACATGGACATCACAGCTGGTCAATACTGAAATCAGATTGATTATATTCTTGGCAGCTGAATATGGAAAAGCTCTATATAGTCAATAAAAACAAGACCTGAAGCTGACTGTGGCTCAGCTCAGGAGCCCCTCATTGAAAACTGAGGCTTAAACTGAAGAAAGTAAGGAAAACCACTAGACCATTCAGGTATGACCTAAATTAAATCCCTTATGGTTATACAGTGAAGGTAACAAATAGATTCAAGGGATTAGATCTGGTAGACAGAGTGCCTGAAGAACTACAGATGTAAGTTCATGACACGTACAGGACGCAGTGACCAAAAACATCCCAAAGAAAAAGAAATGCAAAAAAAAAGAAAAAGAAATGCAAGAAGGCAAATTGGTTGTCTGAGGAGGCATTACAAATAGCTGAGAAAAGAAGAGAAGCAAAATGGAAAGGAAAAAGGGAAAGATATACCCAACTGGATGCAGAGTTCCAGAGAATAGCAACTAGAGATAAGAAGCCTTGCATGAACAGTGCAAAGAAATAGAGGAAAACAATAGAATGGGAAAGACTAGTGATCTCTTCAAGAAAGTTAAAGATACCAAGGGAACAGTTCATGCAAAGATGGGCACAAAAAAGGAGAGAAATGGCAAGGACCTAACAGAAGCAGAAGAGATTATGAAGAGGTGACAAGAATACACAGAAGACCCAAATAATCACGATGGTGTGGTCACTCACCTAGAGCCAGACATCCGGAGTGAGGAAGTCAAGTGGACCTTAGGAAGCATTACTACAAAGGCAGTGGAGGTGATGGAATTCCAGCTGAGCTATTAAAAATCCTAAAATACAATGTTGTTAAAGTGCTGCACTCAATATGCCAGCAAATTTGGAAAACTCAGCAGTGGCCACAGACCTGGAAAAGGTCAGTTTTCATTCCAATCCCAAAGAAAAGCAATGCCAAAAAATGTTCAAAATGTCACACAATTGTGCTCATTTCACATGCTAGTAAGGTAATGCTCAAAATCCTTCAAGATAGGCTTCAACACTACATGAGCTGAGAACTTCCAGATGTTCAAGCTGGATTTAGAAAAGGCAGAGGAACCAGAGATCAAATTGCCAACATCTGTTAGGTCATCGAAAAAGCAAGGGAATTCCAGAAAAACATCTACTTTGCTTCATTGACTACATTGAAGCCTTTGACTGTGCGTATCACAACAAAGTGTGGAAAATTCTTAAAGAGATGGGAATACCAGACAACCTGATCTGCCTCCTGAGAAACTTGGATGCAGGTCAGGAAGCAACAGTTACAACCAGACATGGAACAAAGGTCTGGTTCAAAACTAGGAAAGAAGCACGTGAAGGCTGTATATAGTCACCCTGCTTATGCAGAGTACAACGTGCAAAATGCCGGGCTGGATCAATCACAAGCTGGAATCAAGATTGCCAGGAGAAATATCAACAACCTCAGATATGCAGATGATACCACTCTAATGGCAGAAAGCAAAGAAAAACTAAAGAGCCTCTTGATAAGGGTAAAAGAGGAGAGTGAAAATGTTGGTTTAAAACTGAAAGGTTGCTGTTAAGCCACGAACGACTTCAGTATTCTTGGTGTCCTGAGGAGAGGAATTCCATCCGGGGCCACTGATGAGGCTTGATCGCTCAGAGCTTTTGTGTGATAAAGTTTTATTAAAGTATAAAAGAGGTAGAGAAAGCTTCTGACATAGACATCAGAAGGGGGCATAAAGAGTGCCCCCCTGCTGGTCTTTAGCCACGTGTTATATAGCTACTAGCAGTCTGCTAATTAGAGAAAGGAAATGTCTCCAAACTCAGAGACTGGCACCAGGCCCCTCACCCACAACATGCATTTTGAGATAACACTGGCACAAGGTGAGCTGCCCCAGCCATAAAACGATTGACATGACTCTTGAAGAAAGGCAGGTTTCCAAGCAAATACAGTCTCATTAACATAGCTTAAGAG